CTTACTGACCCAGTGGCCCCCGGGCGCGGGCCGGGCCTAGGTTTACTCTTCCACGGGCTGCCGCTTTTCTGGGCACCTCGAAGCATCAGGGCGGGTAATCAGAGTAGATGTGGGCAGGGAAAAGCATTGCTTGCTCGCCCTGCCGGGGCAGGGTTTCCCAGAACTGGGTTAATTCTTTATAGAAATGTGAACACTGAATTTATTTTAAAAAAAAAAATGATAATAAAAATTTAAAAATTTTAAAAAGACAAAAAAAAAAAAGAAAAAAACCACAGAAAACAACTTACATGTATATAGGTCTTGAAGTGAGTGAAGTGGCTGCGTTTTTTCTTCTTTTTTCTTTCTTTTTTTTTTGTTTTGGTTTGGTTTGGTTTTTGTTTTTGTAGAAGAGATTTGAGATGGTACTCTATTCTAATCAAAAATAAAAGTTTTGTAGCGGGACCAGAAATTACTTACCCATCACCCCCCTCCCCCCACCCTGACCCAATTCCAATGGGTTGAAAGTTCCAGACCTGCTGTCAGGCTTTCTGTTTGTCAGACCACCTGGTGTCCTTCCTGCAAAAATGAAGATGCAGCCATGAACCGAAGGGGGAACCCGCAGACCCTGAAATGCAGGGCCCCTACCCCAGCCGCTGGTGCACCAGCTGAGTGGGCAGGCCCAGCAGCCCAGGGATCAAGGCTAAGGGTACAGTTTTCACCTTGACTGTGATGCAGGAGGAGTAGGTAGCTTCCTTCCTCTTGAAGGGGGACCTATTCTCACTCTGGTAACCTGCAGTCCAGGGGGCCGTGGCTCTGGATCCATGACCTGGGGTCTCCCAGCCTCCCCTGGTCCCAGGTAAATGTGAATGGAGACAGGTATGAGAGCCTGTCCTCAACCTTGATGCCCCCCCGGCGTCACCACGGTGCTACCTAAGAAAGTCTCCCCCCCCCCCCCCCCACTTGCCTGGTCAGTGGTCAGAGAATTGGAGGAGGATCCGACAGAGTGTGTAAATGTGAGATAAAATGTCTTGGTTGTACCTGTTTGTGGTTTAGCTTTGTATTTAAAAAAAAAAAAAAAGGAAATAACTTGAAAATTATTTGTCATCATAAAAATGAAACAAAAATTAAAATATTTATTGCCAGGCGAGGCCACCTGTGTGTCTGTTTTTTACATGGCAGAGAGAGGATTGGAATTTTCTGCTTCACTTTACAAAAGGGCTACACACTACACAGCAGGGGTACCCGGCTGGCTCAGCCGGTAGAGCGTGCAACTCTTGATCTCGGGGTTGTGGGTTCAAGCCCCATGTTGGGTGCAGAGATTACTTAAAAATAAAATCTTTTTTAAAAAAAGGGTTACGGAGCAGTATGTGTCTGTCTTGGTGAATGGCCTCCTAGGGGGACAGTCTCTTCATTGTACAGTGGGGGTCATAGGTGCCAGAGAAGATTAAAAACTAATGCATGTTGAATCCTCCCTGAGAACAACTGGCATCATCATCTGCACCCTGTCTTGGCGGGAAGCCCCTCCTACCAGTCCAGATCTCTGTGCCCACCAGCCGCCCGCACCCGAGGCGGACAGAGTCCTTGGTTGACAAGCAGAAGATCCGGCACCAGGAGCAGCTGTGTTGGCCAGCCTGTCACCTTGCACAAATCCCTTTCCTTTTCCAAAGCTTGACCATCACACGGAAACAGCCTCTGCCCTGCTGACGTGCAGGGGTGTCCTGAGGATTCAGCCGTCATGGATGACTGCATCTTCACCTTGGAGGGAACAGGGTGCACTCGGCCCTGGAACAGCCGGCTGTGTGACCTTGGGCAGGTGACAGCTCTGTGTGCGTCACCTCCCCCCTGGGCGACATGGAGCCATTCTGGTGTGCGCACGCGGGTGATTGCGTTACAGGAGTTCGTACGGGGAAAGCATGTGGAGCACTGCCTCGCACCTAGATACCCCGCAGTCATCCATGTTTGCTGTTAGGATTGAAACTTGGCTTTTTTCAGGGCGCCTGGGTGGCTCAGTCGGTTAAGCATCTGCGTTTGGCTCAGGTCATGATCTCAGGGTCCCTGCTCAGCGGGGAGTCTGCTTCTCCCTCTGTCCCTCCCCCTCCCCCTGCTTGTGCTCTGTCTCTCTCTCTCTCTCTCAAATAAAATCTATAAAGGAAAGAGAGAGAGAAAGAAAGCAAAGAAAGAAAAAAAGAAAAAGAAAAGAAAAAAAAAAAACTGCGTTGTTTGTACCATTCACTGTTTGCAAGTGTCCGGGACTGACAGCTAAGAGCCTCCGAGCTCTGATATTTAGTTGCTGTATTTACCTATTCATTTTTTAAAGATGATTTCTACAGCAACCACTTCTTGTGCCTTGTGAAACCTGGCTTGGAAACCCACTTCTCAGCTGGTTCCTCCCGATGCTGGGTTTGGAGAAGGAAGCCCGCAGCATGGGAGCAGTTTTAGCAGTTTTCCGTGGTCACACCGGGCCCCAGCTCCAGGAGAAATGCTCCCCGGATTACCTTCTGGAACTCCCACACCCCAGTGTCTGATTTGACCAAGAGTTGCTAAGATCTGAGCACTCTTTATTGTCTTTTTTTTTTTTTAGTTTCCCCCAGGGATACACAGGAACCAGGGCTGTTTTAACTTGACATTTCTCTCGGAGTGGGTTTTCTTGCCTTATCTATCTCCACGAGGGAGAAAGAGGCAGCTAAGCATTTATACAGGGGGACCCCCAGGTCTGGAAATGCAGGTAATATGTATTAATGGCTTACAGACAGCAACGCACGATGATCTGTCTGCTTCTAGACTTTCTGGTTGTCCTACAGCCTGGAGACAAGGAGATGGAAACCAAAGCAAGAATGGCTCAGGTATGGGAAGTGGGCTGCCATCGTTGGGACTCTAGGATGTAAGGCTGGTGCCTTGGAGGGTGGACTTTACATGTCATTCCCAGGAGCTGAGTCTGCTCTGCACTCCTGCAAAAGACAGAGTGCTCCCCCTGCCCCTGCCCCCCCCACTCTCTCTCTCTCTCTCTCTCTCTGTTCTGTGGTCTCACTGCCCCTGTGTGCGGTCTGCCCAGCCTCTGCATGAGGGTTCTGAAGGCAGGATGCATAGATCCGTTTTCCCAGCCAGCTCTCACCTCCAAGGCACAGAAAAGCTTTCCCCTCCCTCCCCCTGTGAAGAGGGGAGCACGCCGTGAGGATGACAGCGTCATCTGGGGTTAAAAATCAGGAGCCCCTCATCAACAGCTCTGCCCAGATGGCATTCTGGACCGGCCTGAGCGGGGCCAGCATTTCTTGGGAGACAGAGTGGGTGAAGTCTGGGTTGTGGAGTTTACCTCTGGGTTCGGGTCCGACTTCTACCACTTTGGAGCTGGGATCCTGGACGAGTTCCTCAGCCCCACTGTGCCGTCACCTTGAGTGTACCACGGGAATGATGACACCCATCCCACAGAGGTGCAGTGAGGCAGTGGGCAAAAAGTCCTCCAAGTGGTGTAGCGAGACACACATTCATTATCAACATGAGTGCTTTTTGGAGAAGAAGGGCACGTTGCACGTTGCAGGTACGAACCCAGGCCTCAGAATCAGGCCCGCACGTGCATCTTGGGCAGCCACTTCCTAGCTCTGTGACCTCGTGTACTTTCATCTTTTGGAGTTTCACTTTCCGAATCTGTACACTGGCGGGTTAGTGCTGGTCCCCAGCTCCCCGAGTCATTACAGGAATAAGCGAGGTCCGTGCAGCAGGCAGAACATGCAGCAAGCCAGGGTCGGTGACCAGCACGACCAGCTCACAGGGTGTTTTCAGCAGGCGCATTAGTTTCTTTGCAAAGAGCAGCCATCTGTTCTTTACAGACTGTATTTCACTGAATCCTAAACGCATTCCCCTGCCCCCCACATTTTAACATCTTTGAAATCAGGACGAGCCTTAAAATCAATAGCATCTTAATGTTATAATTTGTCCCATTTTCCTAGCACTGTTTGTTGAAAAGACTGTCTTTCTCCCATTGTATATTCTTGCCTATAGATCAATTGACCACATAAGTGTGGGTTTATTTCTGAGTTCTCTCTTCTGTTCTGTTGATCTGTCTATTTTTGTGCTGGTACCAGACTGCTCTGATTACTCTAGCTTGGTGGTATATCTTGATATACCTCCATCTCAAGATGCTTTGGTTATTTGGGGGGCACCTGGGTGGTGCAGTCATGTGTATCCGACTGCGTGGTTTCGGCTCAGGTCGTGATCACCGGGTCATTGGATCGAGCCCCGTGTCAGGGTCCACACTCAGTGCAGAGTCTGCTTATGATTCTCTCTCTCCCTCTCCCTCTGCCCCTCCCCACCATGCTCGCTCTTTCTCTGTCTTCCTCTCTCCCTCTCTAAAAGAAATCAATAAATCTTAAAAAAAAAAGATGCTTTGGTTAGTTGGGAGCTTAAGTCAAAAAAATAATAATAGGGGTACCTGGGTGGCTCAGTTGGTTAAGCATCTGACTCTTGATTTTGGCTCAGGTCATGATCTCAGGGTTGTAGGATCGAGCCCTGTATCAGGCTCCACACTCAGTGGGGAGTCTGCTTGAGATTCTCTCCCTCTCCCTCTGCCCCTCCTGCTGCTCATGCTCTCTCTCTCAAATAAATAAATAAATCTTTAAAAAATAATAATAAGGGGCACCTGGGTGGCTCAGTCAGTTAAGCATTTACCCCCGGCTCAGGTCATGATCACAGGGTCCTGGGATCGAGCCCCATGTTGGTTCTCCCTTTCCCTCTGCTGCTCCCCCTGCTTGTGCTTGCTCTTTCTCTCTCTGTCAAATAAATAAATAAAATCTTTAAAAAAAATAATAATAATTTGCAGCATTTTTTTTCTCTCATAGCAACACACAAAATACTGGTGCATCACTTAAAGTCACTGAAATGTATATGCACCATATATATATACACCACCAAATAAATATGCACACGTACATAAATACAGTTTACAGATTTGGAAACCAAGACTCTGAAAGGTTAAAGCACCATAGACAAGGTCATATAACTCCAGGCACCACTCAAAAACACTCAGAGAAAGTATAAAAGTCATTTCACTTTAATACAAAATCATGTAAAGAAAGTCATGTTAGCAAAACCGAACGTTCACTAAATATCTGTGAAATCATCACTGGAATGTCAATACCATTTTTTCCTACATTCTCTCCTCCCCTCTCCCTTTGGGCTCACGAATTTCGCTGCTACTACATGGTAAAGACCCAGGTCATCCGTGAGACCAGACAGGCAGGACGCACATCTGCACACTGGAGGTCCCTCTGGACGGCTGGCGTGCAGCAGGAAGTGGGCCTCGTTTTTGCTTTCCTTCTGCTTTCTTGATTTCTTTGTGCTGCTTCCCCAGCCTTGGCCAAGGCTTCACGGGTGTCCACTTCTGAAGCCAGGGAAAAAATTATCACGAGAGAGCCTCACCTCCTTCCTCCTTGGTGGCTTTCCGGGGAAACAGATGAGCAAGTACAGTGAGTATGCGTGGCACTGAGAGATGAGTTTGGAAGTCTTGGTGCATTGCCTTCTTGAGTCCGAGAACCTCTGTCTTAGTCGTGGCTTTCGATCTACATCTGCTTCTCCGATCGGAAAGAGAACCTGGGTATAGAGAGAGAAGGGTCAGAGGGCATAGACGGAACGAAGCAAGGAGGGCAGAACTCTGCAGAATCTGTGAGAGGCTCTTGCAGGCCACTGACTCAAACATTTGCCCAGGGCTCAGTGGGGGCAGCACTGTTCAGAGGTTTTCCATCTATCAGCTCATTTCACACTCATAACACCTCGATGAGGTAAGTACCCTCAATATCCCTATTTTATAGATTAGCAAACTGAGGCCCTGCAAAGTTCAGTCACAGGCCCAAGGTCACACAGTAAGTTGTAGAACCAGGAGTTGGACCCAGAGCCCACTTAAGCACTGTGCTATGCGGAAAAATGGTGTCTGAACTTTTTTTTTTTAATTTCAGGAGGTTTTATTGTGGAGGAAGCATCCATGTTACTTACAATTATAAAACAGATCTTTGCAATGAATAAAGATTGGCATATAAATTCTTGGATAAAACCTAGATATGTATGCCCTGAGACACGAATACCAAACGTTCAGTGTTTTTCGCCCTCATATGCAAAGTTTTGAAAAGGAAGAAAGCTATCTGGGGTGGATCACAACGTTCAATCTCAGTGCTAATTGCAGCTATGAGAAAGACCCAGAGCTGGCTGGTGGGGTGGAAAGCCAGTGACGGGGAATATGGGCTAGTGCTTCTTGTCAAAGGCAAACCCCCTGAGCACCGTTAGCAGCCCTGCTCGCCATGGCTGGGGCGGGCCCTGGACTAGTATTCAGACTCAGCCATCCTCCCCTGAACCTGTGCATACGGGGGCCCCTTCCCCGCCCCCTTCCCTGTCTCAGGAAGTGACATCATCCCTCATCTCATCATTCATGCCAGGAACCCGGGAGTTGTTCTCAGCTCCTCCCCCCCCCATCTGCTATATTTTAGTCATCATGCCCCAAATATGTTCCTAATCCCAACACTCCTCATCTCCTCCACTACCACCCCCCAGTCCAAGTCACCACGATGAGCACCACAGCCTTCCCGCGACCCCCTACAATCCACTCACACGGCAGCCAGAAGGACTGTGTCACTATACAGAGCTAAGTCATTCCTCAGCTCACACCACTCCATGGCTCCCCACTGCCCTCAGGATAAAGACCAAAATCCTTCTTAGCATGACCTACTTCTTCAGAAAGCCATTCATTCACTCATTCTATTATAATGAGCCTGTCTGACCATGAGATTGTGGCCTCATGCTCATTAGACACACGACCTCAGTACGGCTTGTGCACAGAACAAACATCTTATTTTTTGCCTTATCAGGCTCAAACTCTAAGGGGCCCAAAGAACTCTCCTCCAAGAGGCCCAAAGAAACCAGTAGTTTACATCTCCTGCCCAGCCAATAGAAGTGTTAAACAAATGCCTTCAGATGCAACAGCTGGTGTGGCATGGAGATGCTCTTTCCTTCATTACCTTACTTCAGGAGAACCTTCCTTGGGAAAGAAACACTCCCCCAGGCCCGGCTTTGAGTCTGTCCCCCCACACCTCCTCCACAAAGCAGCCAGAGTGAGCTTTTCCATGTAAATATGCACATGTCACTCTCCAGCTTAAAACCCTCCAGTGTCTTCCCAAAGTGCTCACCGTGAAACTCAGGGTCCTCGCTGGGAACCCCTGGCCCCTGCCCTGACTGACCTCAGCCCTCACTGGATTCTCCGTGCTTCTCTCCTGCCTCAGGCCTTTATACCTGCTGTTCCCTCCACCAGAAATGCACTTCCCTCACGTCTTTATGGTCTTTCAGGGCCCAGCTTGAATGTCACCTCCTCATTGAAGGCTTCCAGGACTCCCCAAATCTGAAGTTGCCCCCTGTCAACTTCTCTCTCAGCAGCCTATTGAATGGATATCTGAAACGGTCCTGTCAATACACTTCCTTACCTGCTCATTCTGACTCCCCTGCTGGAACGGAAGCACCATGAAGGCAGGGGCTCTGTCTTGTTCAGGGCATCCCCAGGACCTAGAACAATGCCTGGCACATGGTAGGCCCCCAATAAATATGTGTTGAAGGGATGAATCATTTGGGTTTCAGGTGGTCTTGTCTGACACAGCAGTTTTCATGCGGGCACTCCAGAAAGTCTGGTAATACTTAACTAAACTATGTATGTGCATATTCTGTGGGCTGCTTGGCCCTCAGATTCATCTCATCCCTTCTCTGCCCATCTCATCCCTTCTCTGCTCCAGGAGGCTGATCTTTGTGGATGACAGCAAATCTTCTTCCTCTGTCCTCTAGCTTCAGGATGGGCTCAGTTACTAGGAGGCCCCAGCAGGAGCTGGGAAGGTGGGGAGGGGGGTGTATTGATGCCCCGGGTCCCTCCCCCCGAGGCTGGTCTTACTAGTTGCTGTGTCCCTCTGCTGACCACCCCCCTTCCCTTTCCCTCATTGCTCCCTCAGCCCAGCTGCCATGCTAGAGTGCTTCTCTATCCCTTGCTGGTTCCCTTAACCCTGCTCCCATGTCTGTCATGTCTGTAAGATGTCCCTTCTTTAAATCTTTTCAGTCACTCCTTTTAAGTGTGTTATTTGTTTCTTGCCAGGACCCTGGCAAATGTCCCCCCCCCCCCCCCCATCACTCATCTGCGTTACGTGCCTGGCCCCCACAGGCATTTGAGATCCCTGACCAAGGCTGTTTCTCAGTTCTGTCCAAGAGGTCAGGGGCTGGTAACTGTCACCGGGCCAGACATTCTCAGGGCAGCCAAGGCAAATGGGCTGTTTGCTTCATGGAGGGGTGGGGGAAGGGCATGCCTCATTGTATTGACACTTGTCAGCTGAGAACGCACGTTTCAAAGTGTGGTCCAAGGGGTCTCCACATCAGAGTTACCTGGGGAATTTATTAGAAATCCAGATTTCTGGGCTTCATCCTAGACTTGACTTCTGAGAATCTGAATTTTAAACAAGGACCCCACATTCTATGGTTTGAGCCTTAGCACCCGAAGAAATGAGGGATTAACAAGGGAGCATAAATACGAGGGGAGTATTCAAAGGAAATCATAATATGTGGCCCAACGATGGGAGACACAGGGTCCCCTAAATTTGGAAGTAAGAGAGGCTCAGTCCCTCGGTCAGTTAAGCATCTGCCTTCGGCTCGGGTCATGATCCCAGGGTCCGGGGATCAAGCCCCGCGTTGGACTACCCTCTCAGCCTCCCCTCTCCCTCTGCCCTTCCCCCTGCTTGTACTCTTTCTCTCTCTCTCAAATAAATAAATAAAATCTTAAAAAAAAAAAAAAAGAAAGTTGTAGGTAAGAGAGGTAATGAATCAGCCACCCCTGCCCTTTTATTAAGTCATCTCCACACCCGACGTGGGGCTCTAACTCATGACCCTGAGATCAAGAGTCACGTGCTCCTCCAACTGAGCCAGCCAGGTGCCCCATGAATCCCCCTTAAACTCTAATAATTATTGTTGGTTTTCTTGTTGTTGTAGTATTATTCTATCATAGGGAGGCAATAGTGTAGAATCTGGACTTCTAGGTTCAAGTCTTGACTTTACGATTTACTATCTGGGTGACCTCAGGCAAATTACTTTGCCTCTCAGCATCTATTTCCCCACCTGTAGAATGAAGATGATGGCAGCTCTGATCTCACAGGGTCACTGTGAAGAGTCAAGTGCTTAGACTGCTGCCTAACAGATCTCCTAACAGTCCAGCCCCGAATTTTCCTATCCGCTGTAGCACCACGAACCAGGACACGTCCCCACCCTGGGTAGCTGGCCAGCCTCCTCGGGCCTCCTCGCCCTCCTTCAGCAACGATTTAGTAGCAACGGGCAGCAGGTAACTTACAGCTTCCTTATGATTGTCTTCTCCTCCTTGTTACTGCCGGTCTTGCTGGTCTTGGCAACAAGGGTGTCTTTTTCTCTTCTTCCTCCTGGGCCTTCTCTTGGTGGAATCAGACCACTGGGGGAAAAGGGGACAAATAAAAGGATTGTTTTATTGCAGACCTTCTGTCTGAGCAGCTCTGAAAGTGAAGGGTCTTAATAATTATTATTATATTAGTAATATTATCATTGAAAGCAGAGTCAGAGAGATTCTGCTTCTAATAAGGAGACTCTTCCCCCCACCTTTCCAATGTTGATGCCTCTTCTTTCTTTCTCTTGTCTAACTGCATTGGCTAATACTTCAAGTTTCTCCACTTTCTAGGAATATGACCACATATCAATTCTCTAACTTAAGCCTTGATTTTCTAATCAATAAAATGAGAATAATAAGAGGGACGCCTGGGTGGCTCAGTGGGTTAAGTGTCTGCCTTCGGCTCAGGTCATAATCCCAGGGCCCTGGGATCTAGCCCCACGTTGGGCTCCCTGCTCAGCAGGGAGTCTGCTTCTCCTTCTGCCCCTCCCCCGCCTTGTGCTCTCTCTCTAGCTCTCTCTCTCTCTCTCTCAAATAAATAAATAAAATCTGGGGCGCCTGGGTGGCTCAGTCTTTAAGCGTCTGCCTTCGGCTCAGGGCATGATCCCAGGGCCCTGGGATCCAGCCCCGCGTCGGGCTTCCTGCTCGGCGGGAGGCCTGCTTCTCCCTCTCCCGCTCCCCCTGCTTGTGTTCCCTCTCTTGCTGTGTCTCTCTCTGTCAAATAAATAAATAAATAGAATCTTTAAAAATAAATAAATAAAACCTTTAAAAAAATAAACAAATAATTAAATTAAGTTGAATTGATATTGATTGATAAGATACTGAGGTCAGTTGACTTAAAGAGGACCAGAATATTTCCCTGGACTTGATGTACAGAAGCTGGAAGAAAGCTGTTCTCTCTCATTTGTTCAGCTGGGACTGCCAGCATCCACATTTCCTATGATTCCTAGAAAGGGTGTCTACAACAGAAAACAATGAGGCCAACAAAGAGAAACAAGGATGAAAGAAAGAGGCACCAAGTCTTGGGCCCCTCCAACCCTGACACCTTAACTGCAGTTTGTTCTTTATTTCTGAAAGCAGTCCCAAGATCCTTCCTAGCTATGTGGGTTAATAAATTCCCTTTTGTACTTAAGCTAGTTTGAATTGAATTTCTGTCACTTGCAACCAACAGAAGCCTGACCACAATGCATTGTTTCAATGTATGAAATTGTTATCTCCACTTGGGTATTTTGCTGTGGCACCTGCTGGTTCATTTATACCTGTGGTGTTTCCCCCTTCCTACAGATTGGATCGTGTCCCCCAGAATTCATATGTTGAAGCCCTAAGCCCCAGTGTAATGGTATTTAGAGATGGGGCCTTTGGGAAACAATTAAGTTTAGATGAGGTCAAGAGGGTGGGGTCCCCATGGTTGGATTAGAACCCTTGTAAGAGGAGACGTCTGAGGACTTCCTCTCTGCCGTGTGCAAGAAGCCACAAAGAGTCAAAACTAACCATGCTGGCACCCCGATCTTGGACTTTAGCCTCCAGAATTGTGAGAAAAAAATGTCTGTTATTTGAACCATCCAGTGTATGGTATTTTGTTTTGGCAGCCCGGCAGACTGAGACACCTTTTGAGGTATGAGTGTCAGAGAGCAGGATTCATCCTTCTCTCTCCTTTGCAAGGAATGAGCTCTTATTATTCAATATTATTATTTACCTATTATAGTATTAATATTAATACATTATTAATTTATTAATAACCCCCCTTTTCCATTATCTATTGTTACGTAACACCCTGAACCATAGTGATTTAAAACAATGAAGATTTATGATTTCTCGTGATGGCTCCATTTCTTACGGTTGGCTTGGTGGGTCGTCTGGGGGCTGGGCACAGCTGGGGCCATCAGCTGGGGCACCTCTGTTCTTTGTGTGACTTCTCCCTGATACTACCTTGAGCTTCCTCACAGGACTGTGGTCTCAAGCATTCCACGAGGACAAGAAATTCCACGAGGACCAAAATGGAAGCTGCAACAGGCCTCCCCTAGCCTCAGAAGCCAAATAGCATTGCCTCCACTACATTCCATTGGCCAAAGCAAGTCACTGGGCTGCCCAGACTCAAGGGCAGGGAAAAAATAGGCTCTACCTCTTGAGGAGTGGAAAAGGCTCACTGCAGAAAGCATGCAAGATGGGAAAAATCGTGGCCATCTTTGGAAGCAGCCTACCACATCTGCCTCAATGAGAAACAATCATTAGTATGATCTTGGACCTCGAAACTGATGCACTTGCTAGGAGAATACCTCAGCTGACATGCTGGTTTCTCTAGAATGCAGGACCCAAGTGAGTAAACAGAATCCTGCCATCGACTGGCCTCTACCAGAGGGGAAGTACACGGCTGATGCTCTCTGGAATTCAAAACTGGAACTAAAGTGTGTCGCTCTATTCGCTAACAAGCTGCTCAAGCCCCAGCAGTTCAGCTGTTCCTGTTTTCAACTACCTGTGTCTGAAGTACTTATTAAATGAGAGGAAGACAGGTCTTTCCATTAACATGGTTCCAACCTCAGCAGAAGGAAGACAATTAAATTCTTGTTGGCAGAACTCAGCCCTTTTAGATTTGGCTTGCTAGAACATTTTTAATTAGCAATAATCACGCCTTGGATAAACCTCATTGGCTACGATACTGCCGCTGGGCAAAGCTTGCTAGAACATTTTTACTGTACTGCTGCTCCCTTAGTAATTCTACATTGAATGAATTTGGGTTTTGTTTTTTTTTTAAAGATTTTTTATTTATTTATCAGAGAGTGAGAGAGAGAAAGCACAAGCTGGGGAACAGCAAGCAGACGGAGAGGGAGAAGCAGGCTCTCTGCTGAGCAGGGAGCCTGATGCGGGACTCGATCCCAGGACCCTGGGATCATGACCTTAGCTGAAGGCAGCTGCTTAACCGACTGAGCCACCCAGGCGTCCCTGAGCCAGCGTATTTCTTACTTTAAACTTTCAGAGTCCAAATGTGGCATGATTACTAAAAGCACAGGCTCTGATATCAGGCTGTCTGAGGTCATGTCTCACCATTGTCCCCACCAGCTATGGGACTTCAAGCAGGTACCTGACTTTCATGAACCTTAGAACACCTTGGAGATAACATTACTTTAGCTCACCTTGCTGTGAGCACTAACTGAAACGATGCTTGGAATACATTTAGCAGAGTGCCTGGCATGCAGTATGCGTTGATAAATATTAGCTGGCGCTGAATTTTTATTCTCTTGGGCTTTCCTTCTTCTGTCTCTAAGGGAATCTGCTTTGTTTAACTCAATGGTTTCCCAGAATGATTTGACCACAGAGCCCCCTCTTCTTTTTCTTTCTTTCTTTTTTTTAGAGCCCCCTTTTCAAGAAGCACTTACACGAAAGAAAACATTTTGGGAAACAGGGTGCAGATGAATACAGCAAAGTCCAAACCTGATAGGTCAACAGCTTCTTATTTCGTCTCTTGATCGTCCTACAATCTTTTCCCTACACGTGTTACTGTGATTTTTTTTAGGATTTTATTTA